GCGTCTATGCTAGCGAATCTTGCTTCGCCTGATGTCTCGAGCAGAAATGGGTCATACGGTGATCTGAAGGCATCCGAGAGCCACTGGATCCAGTCTTCTTGTCTTTCGTCGCCCGATGCCGTCACGACTGCCGCTACAACCTGGGATTTCCAAACCTCCAGGTCGTGTATCTTGGGCCATGCAGGGATGTTGATCTTCTCGTGTTCCTTCCGAGATATCTTGGAGCCACCCGAGCTAGAGGATGAGGCGGCACCATGTTCGGTTGCGGCTGCATTCTCAGCATTCAAGCGCTCCTCTTCGTACCTCCTCCGGTACTTATTCCTCTCATCTCTGAGCCGTGCTGCATGCGCTTCGAATTCCATCATGTCCTGCTGGTTCTGCATCATACCTTCGTAGTACTCCATTGCCTCTTTCTCCTCGGACCTTAATGACTTTTCGGTACGTCCAAGTTCCGCTCTAAGCTTGGTCATCATCTCGTTCTCCACATTGGGTTCTGATCCCATGTCTGGTGGTTTCAACTCCAGTGCGACCTTCAGTTGTGCTTCACTTGCACTTGATTCGATCAATTCTTCCTGAAGACGTTTCAGCATCCTCTCTTTACGTAGAATGTCCTCTTCCAACATGTTCACCTTGACCTCGGCTTTCTTGAGTTCGGCGTTGGATGGTTGAGACGGTCGACCGGATCCTTGAATCCTCGCCTGTGTCAACTCCTCGTTCGCCCTCCTCAATTGCTCCCTGATGGCCATGATGAAATTGTCCTGATTATTAGATCGGTTGTTGAGCTCCTCATTCTCTTCTGATAACCATTTGATCTTGCTTGTATACATTGCTTCCCTCATCTTCATCTCTTCAGCATATTCGTGTTTGTTCCTGGCACTCTGCCTTTGTAGTCCAACTAACTCCTGTCTATACAGATCCCTAATGTTCTCAGCATCTGCGACTGCAGTCATGAGCTCGGTTACGGCTCGATCTCTTTCCGCCGATATAGCCTGGATCTCTTCCGTGCCGATGTTCACAACTTGACTAACCATCTCTGCGCTGCTGCGATCAGCGTACTCCCCTAACTGGGTGAGACGATCCCGCATTGCCACACGATCAGTGTCAATCTGGTATTGCAAATCGTGTGCTGCTGAGAGCAAACAGTCTCTGGATTCTGTAAGTTGGGAGATTCTTCGTTGATTTCCATATCCTTCGACGTAACATTCCTCGAGGTGTGCCATCACTACTTCGTGGACTTCGGTCTCGTGTTGTATAATCTGGTTCTGTCTCTGCTCACTTTCGACCATCCATGCGTTTTGGTGGTTCAACATATGCACTTCGGCAAGTAGTTGTGCACACTTCGCATTGAGGTCTCCATCGGCCCGTGCTAGTTGTAGGTTGTCATTGCTTGCCCTTGCTCCATCTCCAGCTTCGCTGTCCGACGGTACTGGTACAGTTGACCCATCCTCCAATGCTAGCACTCTCACAGCTCCGGTGTCAGTTCTCCTCCTTGTCTCCCTAGGGCTACGGCCCGATCTCGGTGTCCCCCCCGGTGGTGTCGAGTGCGCTGACGGGGAACGACTTCGTGCTCTACCTGTCGCAACTTCTCTCACCACTGTCAGAGTCTCCGCTTCGATCGTACCTGGACTAGAGTTGTGGGATGCACTCATCCGATCTGCGGCCGCAGCAGCTGCTCCAAAGGATGCAGTGCTGGCGTCGGATTGGTCCATCTTCAGTGACTGAGGGTAACTGATCTATCCGATGCTTGTGCGTTTAGATGGTGTTGCGTAAGGCCGTAGCTCGTACCCAGCTCAAAGGAGTCTGGATACGGCTGATAACCTGCGAACGGATGGAAAGGTGTGCCCTGGCCCCGTTCTAGCCCTTAGTTCAACATGAAGCTCGCGCGCTAAAGCTCCTTTTTACCTGGTTGGGCACTTGAGCCAAAAGTATATGGCATGTACCTGTATAGCAACTATACTGGGACCTCATCCCTATTGACATTGAACTTTGCGAGCTGATGGAACAACTTGAGTTGGCCCAGCAACTTGAGTTGGAGGAGCAAAGCTTGCAGCAAGCGTTGCTCGAATCTTCAACAGATCCTGGGTGCAAAGTCCTGAGGCCCACAGATGAAGGAGCTTTGAAGGATATGGAGACTTTGCACCAGGAAGGCTTCTCCAAAGAGCAAGCAATTTGGGCTGTCAAGGTCTCCCGTGATTTGTTTGAAGCACGCTGTCGGGCAACAAATCGAGATCAGGCTGAGAAGGCCTTGCGTGCAAGAGAAGCGGTTGTCAAGGAAGTGATTGGCTCAAACTGTTTGCTGCCTGATGACAAGTCCATGCCACCACCAGCCCCACCTGTGAAGGTGGTGAAGCCTGCTGGGGAAAGCTTGGCTGTGTGCAACGTTGACGCTTTGGAGACACAGCCGATGGACCATGAAACTATTCAAGCCTCAGCTGTTGAAGCTGTGAAGCAAGCAGATGCACACGTGATATCTGAGCAGGAGGTTTCCAGCCTGTTTGATCCAAAGCCGACCTTTCTCTATGCCAGGACATTGTCTTTGTCTTCAATTTGGGAGCGCGATGACATGGAGAAAGTGGATTCTCACGGGGGCCAGGCAGCTCCAGCTCACACAAGTGAGACCGCATCACCAAAGGTCTTGCCAAACAAGCTTGGGGCTGAAGACCCACTGGGAAGCCAGGCAAGCAAGCCTGAAATCATGGCAGCTCCCACGCCTGGAGCGAAGCATGAAAATGAGAATGAGAAAGCGATAGGCCCAAGTGATGCTTCCAAGACTGAGGCTGACAAGAAGGTGATTGATGTGATTGAGTATCCAAAAGATGTTTTGGAGAAGGTTGTGCCTGTAACGGCAGCCGAACAGCGAGCACGGAGGCCGGCTCAAGGCAGAGGAAGAGGACGAGGACGTGGAAGGGGGAGGCCACGCGGCAAGAATGCGAAGCAGGATGATGAGCAGGAGGAGGAGCAGGAGGAGGAGGAGCAGGAGGAGGAGGGTGAGGAGAAGGAAGACCTCAATGAAGAGAAATTGCCGGAGCCTGACAAGAGCGAGGAAAAGCTGGGAAAGGCGTCGAAACCAAAGTCCAGAAAAGATGAGCCACCAGCCAAAGGCCACAGGAAGTCGGTTGAGAAGCCCAGCAATGACGGCAAGCCAGTGAAGAGCAAACATGAGGAGAAGTTGCCAGCCAATCGCCGCAGCAGGAAGTCTTCTGAGCCCGAGGAGGTTGCAAAGGAGCAAGATGAAGAGAAGCAGCCAGCCAAGCGCCGCAGCAGGAAGTCTTCTGTGCCCCAGGAGGTTGCAGAGGAGTCAGGCAAGGAAGGCACTCAGAAAGCTTCTGAAGAGAAGCTGCCAGCCAAGGGCCGCAGCAGAAAGTCTTCTGTGCCCCAGGAGGTTGCAGAGTCAGGCAAGGAGCCACCAGCCAAGGAGTCAGGCAAGAGCGGCCCTCGGAAAGCTTCCAGGCCCAAGCCAGTGGAAAGCAAAGATGAGGAGGAGCCGCCAGCCAAGCGGCGCAGTAGGAAGTCTTCTGAGCCGCAGAAGTGTGCAGAAGAGCCCGCTGTGGAGTCAGCCGCTACCAAGCCCAAGCCAGTGGAAAGCAAAAATGCAGGGAAATCTACAAAGCGGAAGATGGCCTCAAAGTTCGATGAGGCAGGTGAGTCCGCCCCCGTTTCCATAGCAAAGAGCAATGATGGAGAAGTGGACGAGAAGGAAGAGAAGAAGCGGCGGCAATCTCGCAAAAGCTCCGCTTACCACACAGCCAAAAGGGCTGCACTTGCTGCAGGAAAGAGCACGGAAGAAGCAAAGGATTTGGCGAAGGAGGTAACTTAGCTCTGTTTATATTGTTCTAGCCTCTTAGCAGCTTGGGCTGCATCTGCATTTGCCTTGCCGGACCAAGGCATATCACAACACCTTGTGAGCTGCCGCAATCTGATTTTTTTGGTGCGAGTGAGTGGGTGCCGTGATGAACACGGCTGTGCACATACAGAAGTGAAACCTTCTGTATGCAGGATTGGAGCCATAACAGTGACCAAGCTGTTTTGGGGTTCTTAGATATTCCTATATACATCGGAGCCGTGTGCAGTGGGGGTCCATCCCATGCAACTTCACCATGGCTTGAGAGCGAAAAGTTTTCCACTGGTCTTCTTTCAGGTTTTTGCAACCTTGTCAGCTATGAACCATTGGCAACAATATGTTTAATTGTTGATGATCTTGTACAAAAAACCTCCCAACTTCCAGGCTGATGCCATCTTCAGCTTGGAGAAGGAAGTCCGCTTTAGCAGGTCAACCGTGGCTCATTATTTGCGTTTGCTTTTCAAGTACTTACATGTATTAGATGGCTGTGCAAACTCATCTCTGCGCAGCTGCAGTGACCAGCCCAAGCTTTCCAAACGCTGCAATACCAATGCTGTGGGATCCTGTAACCGCCCTGCAGCACACTCAAGCGCCTAAGGCTAGGGAAACAAACTCTGTCTATTGCATGCGTGTTGAAATGTTATATTGGAAGGGATTCTGCATATGCTGATGATTCCTTGGAGGCTTTCATTGCCTTGGTCATGGCCTCAACTCGGGCTCAACTCGATGCGCTTCCAAAGATTTAAGTTTGAACCAAACCAAATGGGCAACCTCAGGTTCTATTGGTTGGATGGCTTCAGTTGCCAGACCATGACCCTACGGAGCGGTTTCAATTCTTCGAGTTGTTCAGTGGAAAGGCTGCAGTGTCGCGTGTCATGTCCTGTCCCCAGAAAAGACACACTGCTAAATGCCCCTTACCTAGACCCAAACACAGCGGTTCCTTTCTTATATCGATATGATTCTTGTGGTAGGTCTTGGTGTGCCCTCAGTTGCTCAGGACCGAATCAGGGTATAGCACAGCATCCTATGACTGGGATTACTGTAAATCTGGGATGAACTTCTTAGGAAGCGCTGGCCTGGTGCAACTTAGCTTATAGGTTTGCTAACCAACAACTTGTTGGATGAACCAACGATCCCTCTTCGCTCGGCATTTCCTTGCCTCAGGTTGGCGATGTGGATTCTGATTCACACGGACAGCTGCGGCTTGTTCCTAGCAGGCCCCGACTGCTCCAGTTGGGGCATACCAGCCCGAGGAACATCATGGAGAACAAGAGTGAACATCCATGGAAACATTTTTTTGGCGTGGGTGAGAGGCTCCTCATGTATGATTTCTCGGATACCCGACTGATTGAGTGGCAGTGCACAGATTCATCAAACAATTTGTCAAAGGTGGTTGGAAAAAATTAGAGGGTCCAGCCCAGCTGAGGCTTGTGCTATGCATTCTTCTCGCTATGAGTCGCAACATAGCCTGGGTTGTTGAACAACCACATGGATCACTATTAGAGAACCACAAAAGATTTAGTTGGATGTGCAACACTGTGGCATGGGTTCCTCGACCTCGAGCTGCTGTTTGTACGCATGCAGTCTGTTTTGTTTAAACAGAGCTACCTCGCTGGATCTCAGGTTTGGCGGTCGGCTTTCTGGATGATCCTACACGGGGCACCCAGTAGCAAGCGGACTTGGTGCTATTCAAACATGCAGGAAATTGGTATGCTAGATTTGGGCAAATTGAAAAAGGATGTGAGAACCTCCAAGACAAGCAGCACACTAACCAGTTCCCCAGTTGCATACATGTTCGCAAACAGCTTTTCTTGGTAGTTCTTCATACTAAGCGTGCATGAGCGGAGAACCAAGGGCGTTATGTGAATTCAAAAGGCGAGGTGAAATTTCATGGAACTGGCCAGCTCAAATCTTCCCAGCTTCTTGGCTGTGCACATGTTTCTTCAAAGTACACCTAGGCCCAAAGAGTAATCACATGGAAAACATGGTGGTGGATACAGATTCCCAACTCCACCCAACTTGCGAAACCTCCAGGCAGTATCCTTCTGGATTTGGACATTGTCTGCGAAAGGCTTTTGAAACTCACCTGGCGGCCGCTGTGCACCGGGACTTGAGGTTCAAAGTGCAGGTCAACAAGTTGGATCCTGTAGCCCAATTTGAAAGCCTTCCGATGGGAGATCTTTGGGAAGATGCCAATTTGTTGCAACCAATGCTGTACGCAATGTCCTCAAAACATATAAGGACTTTTGGGGGTAGTGCACTTTTCTGTGACATGTGTGCTCTCATGTGCTCTCCCTTTCTCTCACCACATATGCTTTTCTGTAGGATCCCTCCTGAATGGCAATCAACGATGGAGAAGTTTGTAGCCGACTATAAAGCTGAGGTGCTTGAAGGAATCATGCTCTCCCATTTTCTTCAACTTAACTAAGAAACCATAACAAACCAATGTCTTTGGCAGGTGCTGGGTGATCCACAACTCCGCGCAGAATACGAGCAGCTTTTGACAGAGCACACATAGTGTTGCTCTTCAAGTCGTTCAAGTGGTGTAGAAGAATCGTACTTGGCTAGTTGGCCAGGTGTGACTTGCCAATTTGTGTGTTTTGCTGACTTTTCAGCAATTCGATCGGAACTTTCGCGCTTTAGCCACTTTTGTCGGGAAAAACGGAGGCGCAAACGAGGCGCAAATACGCGCAATGAGGCGCAAATATGCGCAAAAAGGCGCAAATCTAGAATCTGCCTCTTTTGGAAATTTTTGATCTCGACTGCATCGGTCCATATCGGTCCATATCGGTCCTTAAGACGTTACGATTCGATTTGTTGGCTGCACATCTAGACTTCAGGATCTACTTTGGACTTTTTGCCCTCATGTGTTTTGTTCAGCGACCTTTTGGCTGAAGGGCTTTGACATGACCACCCGACTTCATTCTTCGGAGACTTTGTTGAACGGCATGAATGCTGTTAAGTGTGATGGTGTGGTGCCTGCGGACCGGAAGCGGGAACTCCAGGAGAAAATTCTGGTGGCTTGGCCATCAGGTTTAGGTTTAGGCATGTGTGTGTGACACTGCAGGGTTTCCAGCGTTTCTGTAGCCTCTCTTGATTGTGTGCCTGTAGGCAAGCCAAGAGCGGATCCAAGCTCTTCGCCGCAAGTTGTCTAATCAGGCTTCGACTGAAGCACCAAGCGCAGGCATTCCTGGATGCTTGCTCCAATCTGAACAGTTCATACTTTAGCTGCATATGTTTTGTTTCTGGGCTATCGACTATCGACATCTTAGTCTGGGGCGTTTCTATGTTATGATCTGAGGAGCCCCATGCTTTGCCCAACAGAACGGACAGTTTTGTGCTGGCAACCCCACTCTGCCAGATACCTATGGCAATGACTCTCAGTTGCCAGAAAGCTTTGGCATTGACTCTCAACTGCCAGATACCTTTGTAGATCCTCCTGTGACTGGCAAAGCCCCACCGGCACACCAGGCGACAGTGTCACCCGCACCTGCTGTGCTGCCAGTGCCACCCGCAGCAGCTTCACTGCCAAAGTCACCTGTAGAGGCTTTGCCAGCCCCATCACCCTCATCTCGGACAAACACAAGCGTCGCTGATGATGAGTTACATGAGACACAGTCTGTAGCATCGAGTGCTGGGAATCCATACTGGAAGCTTTTAGACTGCAGGGAAGCAGTGGTAGTCAGTTGTGATGTCCAAACAAATTTGTCTAGGGCTAGTTCTAACCTGCTCATATCCTGAGGCTACGTCGATATTTCAAACCCAAAGCGGGTGGACTCAAGTGCTCAGCAGAGGCTCTCAAGATGTGGAATGACCCCGCTGGACGCACCCTGGTGTAGGTATATACATGCAATTTGGATTGTGTTTAGGTGTCATGGGTTTGTGTGAACACTCGATATTCTTGAGGCAAGGAGCTCCAGAAAATGTTCCTGGAACACGGGAGCTTTGAATGCATGGAGTTGGCTCTCAAGAAGAAGCAGATCAGGGAGGACAGCGAGCAAAAGGCTGGAGGATGGTACACAAAGAACAAGCTCGAGCAATGCGAGAAATACACAAAGAGTCTAACCTGAATGATAAACAAATTCATGCAAGGTGGGGTCGATGGTCAGGACACGTTAGTTAGAAACATGCCAAGGAGTATGATTGCCAAAGCGTGGGCGTGGGCGAAGTCGAAGAACCAGTGGCGTGTGAATCCAATTCATGGGGAAGAAGAAATTCGAATCATCGCGTCGGAGACCTTCTCAATGAATAAGAGCCAAATTGAGGAACTAGAGCAATCTGGCAATATTTCTGTTGAGGAGGGGTTGGAGGGGTGCTCAAAAACAATTCTTCCATGTTCGGACGCTTGCCATGGAGAGACTAGAAAAACGGCCCTATAAGCTTTTGCAGCCTTTTGCTTGAAAGTGTTGGTGGGGCCATGTGGGGCCATTTTTGCTCATGTTTCAACTTCCAAGACAGTCAGCCAGGACCCAGAGGGCTCTCTTTTCAACTCCGATCTGGTTGACTTTAATGCCGCGCCTGGCACTGCGGTGGTGCCTGGCATGGGATCAGCAGCTCCCATCACCTCTGGGCAAGCAGGGGAGCAGCTGGGGAACACTGCAAGTGTGATGTCCTTCAAGTTTCCTTTCAACAACACATTGATGTAATTGCATTGTGGTTGATTTGCAAGTGAATTGCCTCATTCTTACAGCTCCGTTGTTCGCCATGCCAGTATCTATCTCAGGCTGAGTTTCCCTACGATCACTAGCTCGTCCAGTCCGCTCCAGATTCTACCCAGCTTTGTGGAAGTACTTGGACGCAAAATTGATAAAATTTGCGCTGAGAAGGACCGATTGTATGCAGTGCGGTGCCACCAATTATATTCCAACCTATTTGTGTCCAGACTTCTTCAATACCAGGAGCGGCTTCAGGGCATCAAGGCCCCGACAGCTTCAGCGTTCCGGGGCCGCAATATGCGGACCTAACTTAGTCATTGACCAAATCTATTGGAAGGGCAATCTTTTCTGTACTAGGCTGTCACTTCTTGGTTTGGGATGACCTAGGTTGCACCAGACTTTGACGACCTACCATGGGAAGATGCAGAGTCTCTACGAAGCGCTGACCAATGTTCTTTCTGAAGCAACGGTGTCCCCTGAGACCTTTGACAAGTTTCTTAGATGCACTTAGATTCGCTTAGATTCACTGTCGCTTGCTTAATGTGTTCACTGGCAACTCTGTGTTTCAAACACCCTTGAAGCCCTATATCTCTTCCAGGGCGAAGCGAGACGACCTCACCGGCAAGTTTGTGGAGTGCACCAAATTGGATGTGGCTATGAATGCAATGCTCGTGCGTTCAAAGCTCCTAGCCCTGCACAACGGTTGGGGCAACAAAGCTAGCTAAAGGAATAGCAGCAGGAAATCATTGACAGGTATGTCTTTTTGGCAGTGTATCTGAAGTTGCCTCAAGAGAAGCCGTTCTATCCCAACCTTCAAGTTTTACTGCACCCCAAACGTTAAAGGAGCCTTAGAACAATATCAGCCTTCCACCTGGGAGTCGATAGGTCGATCGATAGCTCCTTTTCCACATCTCACCACAGGACCTACAAAATACAGTGAGGTGTCGGGTTCTTCCACGGTACGTGCTTGTAGCTCCATATAGTGAACACACAAAGCAGGACTTGGAGCCTTGCTTTCCAACACCTTCCACCCGTTTTTAGATTTCACAGTTCACCCTGGTGGCAACTAAGGGGAGTGAAATCGGAGGCAGGAGGCACTCAAATCTGCAAAGTCGAAGGCGAAGCCGGCAAATAGCGCTAAGACCGCTAAGGCTAAGAACGATTCGAAAACCAAGTCCCACCCGAAGTCTCGGTCAAAAAAATCGGCTGACGACAAGGGGAAGACCAAGGGGGCCAAAACGGCCAAGCCTAGCCAGCAGGGTGCGCCCTAAGTCCTAGCAAGCGGATGCTTGGTGGTGCCTGGGGTTGTGTTCGAGCTGAGGGCGTGATGCGAAAACAATCAACTGTGGATAGCAAGCTTTTTGTTTGGGGATGGATCGTGCCGCAGCTCTTTTGACACAAAGGGCCCACCAAAAAAGATGTGTCTGCTAATTTGGTGTGTTTCAGATCTACCATTGTGATCCAGATATGACCCGCTTGGAAAAACCATGCCCTGGCAGTCGTGGCATGGTGTTTGAAAAAATCACATGGTATCGAACAAGCCCTCCCACTCAAGCACACCCCATGCAATCTAGTTGGGATGCCAGGTCATCGGGGAATTTCTCTGGCCACTCGGACAGGTGCGGGCCTGCGCTTCACAGTTTGACGGAAACATTTGAGATTAAGAGTATTTTTTGTGTAGCCTCAGGTAAAACTCTACAAGCATGCAAAGGGAATACTTCTGTTGGCCTGTCTGTGAAGGTTGCTGGGGTTGCTCTGATTCATCTGGTGAATCAGATGACGACCTTCCGGGAGATATGATAGCCAACTTTGCCCATGGAGTTTCTTGTCACGAAGTTTTGCGACCAAAGACTGCCGTGTTTCCGGATCTTGTCTCTCCAGCTGAGGCTACGGCGAAGGACGTTGTATCCCAGGCCAAGAAGACGGAGAAACTCCTTTCCCGTCATGGAGCCTCGGCAATGTATATTGAGCAGGGAAATCGTTGCAAAACACATGGGTTGAACGAAATTCATGCTATCATGATCTGAGGAGTCTATGAACCGGCCATCTCTGACTTGGCGGCCTTGAGCAAGTTTGACAAAAAGAAGAAGAACCAAAGTAGGAACCTTCATCGTTTTGTAGAGAAGAAGGGTATCAATCTACAAGTGCCGATCACAAGGGTGCAAGCACCATTGCGAGCCAGGAAATTTAGAAGGAGAAACAAGATTGTTTGGGAACCTTGGCCGACCCTGATGCCCGGGATTGGATGCGGGTGTGCTTGGAGCACCCAAGCTACCGTGGCATGCAAGTTTTGGGAGGTCATAGGCTGGAAGACCTTCCAGCTATTGAGTCCATGCTGAGCCAATTCTGGTCCAGATATCAATATCAGGACCCTGCTGTCGCTCCAATCGTGCCAACGAGAACAATTCCACTATTTGTGCACGGCGATGAGGGCCGTGGGCAAGTGAAGCGGCCCCTGATGGTAGTCAGCATTCAGCCCATTCTTGGTCTCGGTAAAGGGGAAAAGCTCAATTCCAAAGAGTACTCTCTCTACATGTTTGGCAAGTTCTTCTTATTTGTTGTTCTTCGGAGGGGGAAGTTTTGGCACTGGCACTACTGTAGTGATTTTGTGGTGGACACTGTCATGGTTTCCAAGGCACACCTATTTGACAAGGATGATATACACTTCAATTCCATCGGAGAGGTACGCTGGAAAAGGGGAAACAATACAGGTTCTGCTGGAAGCCTTGGTTGCAGATCTAAATGCTGCCAGCCAAGAAGGGGTACAGGTGCGGGGGTACATGTCGCAAAACCTTGCATGGTTGCATGATCATAGGTAGCTTGGTCTCCTCAATATGGTCCCTGATAGGTGAACTTTGAAGGCCAAAACATGACGTGGTATTGGCAATACTGTGGGACAAAAGGAGATTGGCCGTTCCTTAGAACGGCCTTCAAGTTGAAGACTGGCTACACTTCCCGAAGGATATGCCACTTGTGCGAAGGAACAGACCCTTAGCTTATCGATATACCTTCTGGTTTGAAGGAGTTGTGACTCTACCTGCTGCCCCTTCCCCCACCCAAACTCGGTGAAATTGAGGATTGGCACGACTTGACAGCCAATGGATCAACGCGAGCTTTTTCCCGTAATGATCGTGCTGAGAGTCCGTTCCATTCTGGCCCTCGAGCTGCACTCCGAAGTATCCAACCTCATCAAGACAGTGTCGCACAAATCAAGACGGACGTTGCCCATACTTATGCCATTGCAGGATATGGCAAGGATGAGCTAGCCAGCCATCTAATCTTCTTAGCAGTGAGATGTTCTTTGTTTTCACGGGCCCCATTTGAAGAACAACTTGAAGACGCTTTTGCTTCCTTCAATGAATGGTGCCAGCGACGTCACAAAACATCTACAATCAAGGAATTTTCCAAGTCTGAACTCAAAATCACATCGTTACTCGGAGGACAGTAAGCCTTTCTTGGTGGCATTGTCGACTAAGCTTACAACAGGCCTCAAACATGTTTCATGACCCCTCAGGCTTCAAGACTATCCGCGTGGCCTTGGAAAGGGAAGTGATGCCTCGTTGATAGCTAGATGGTTGGAGGATGTCCTTGAACAGGTGACAGCTGACATGGTTCCTGATACCTGCTTGGAAATACCAGTAAACCTTTCTATTCTTGCAGTTCTAGTGGGCATTGGCTCTTCCATTCCATTCGCCTGTTGGACACGTGCTAAAGCTTAGGACAATTGCCAAGATCTTTTCAGAGTGGTCAAATGGAGCCTGCACGTTAGCAACCGCTTTTTCCGTGCATGTTATGGCAAGCTTTGGCTGACCCGCCAAGAAGCAGAGCAAGCTGTGGCAGATGGGTGGTCTATGACAGAACCTTGCTCAAGAAGCATGTAAGCTTTCCTTGTTGTCGCCAATCCTACAAACTAGGCTTACAAAAGCTGATTGTTGTCGCCAATCTCCAAATCAATGCTTGCTCTGCTAATAGGAGGCTTATGGAGCCATGGCCTACCTGAGCAAGCAACAGAATTGGAGCCTCTACTATCTTCGCCCAAAAGTACACATGATGCAACACTGCGTGCCACATAGAAGCACTAATGTACTGTAAGACTTAGCGGTGATGTGGTGTGCAAAGACCTTCCCAACTCATGTGTTTCACATAAGGCTTGACCTTCGATATCCTTTAGAGGATCCTGAGTGCCGGTTTGTATTAAGTTTGGGTGCTCTGGCCTGTTGGTCAGATGAAGATTTTATTGGGAGAGTGGCGAGAGCTGAACGCCGGACCCACAGTTTGGCCATTGTGGCAACACTGAAAAAGGTGTTGATTGAATATGCCTTTCAATGGCAGAAAGCTTCCCGGAAAGCTTCCAAGCGTTCGGATCCAGCTGGGCTACCCGGCTGATGACTGTGTGCAAGGCCCAGGACAAAGTGTGATTGTGCATGTTGTGGGTTGTTGTGGAGGGTGAGACGAAACATGACAAAACATAAACGAGCACTTTTTTGCAAACGAGGCATACTTTTGCAAACGAGGCAGACTTGTCTCGAGGCAGAAATTTGTGGTTGTTGGAGGTTCTAGGTATAGTATGCTGTCATACACTACTTATCAATGACGAGACGTTAGACGTGTTTGTGGAGGCCTACTCATTCTCCCAAGCTCACAACCACCAAATATCCATTCCGTTTATGCTCTGAGCATCACTGCATATCTTCATAGACCCTCCAGTTCGATCTTGCATCGCTCTCCGAGCGGCCCATGGTCTCCATGAGGCTCTCCATGGTGGCCATGAGAATCCGATGCCCGCGGAAATAGAGCACCTCCTTCTGTCCCACCACCACAGGCCCTGAGACGCACCGGCGAACCACCGGCGGGGCGCGGAGGTGGTCACAGTGGTCACTGGGGGCAATGGGAGACTATGATTTGATGTTGGTTGGTTCTGGGATCTGTGCAAGAATATGTTGGATGGTGAGATGAGCTGACCTGGAGGATCATGAACATTCAGCAAGTGCCTGATAATCAACATGGTAGGTCCCATCCCGGTTTCCAAGACATAGCAATAGCATAGGCTCTAATGTCTCTGTTACAACAGCAGCCAGCTGCTCCGCACCAACACTCACGGGCCTTCGACTTCGGAGTTTCGGCTGCTGCCATCGCAGTAAAGGGCAAACACCTTATTCCAGTTGTAGAAGTCAGGATTCACCTGACGTAGCTGCGCAGCGACGACTCACGAGTTCCGGCCGGCTGCTTCATGGTGGCGCATGGCCCTTGCGAACTCACCCCGGTCGTGCCATGTGGATGGCCTCCGGTTGATTGGAGAGATATCCGTGCACACCACCATCGCTGTACTCCAAGGTTTTGCTCTTCTCCTCGGCAAACGGTTTGGCACACATCCGAAGCACTGAGATGCCCATGGAAACATCGATTCTCAAGTTTAGCATACGGTTTGGCATGGTTTGGGCTCCCTTCCCCTAAACTCTTGCAGCCGTTTTTTCCAGAAAACACGTCTTTGCAGCGAGCTTCCTCTCAGGAATATTTGCTACTAGTAGGGTGGCTTGCGCCAAACACCATTTGCGTGTTTAGGGGTTTCAGAGTAGATGGTGCAATCCCCAAGTTTGGTGGTTACAAAAATGGTACATCCAATTGAAACGACATGTAGGGGGTTGCACCACACCTACTTTGAGTCCATGCATAGGTTCCATCGGACACAGCCGGGTCGATGTGAACAGCTCCCACTGCTGGACGGATGTGTGCACGGATTGCGATGGGGAGCACCAAGGAGCCCAACTGGGAAGCATGCAAGGAACTTCAAGGAACCAAAGACCTTTCAGCTCTAGCTGACAAGTCGTTTCAACATATTTTCTGGCTGAAGTTTCATCCACTTGGAGCTAGTTCCCTTGTCTAGTATAGAACCTGGAACCATTTCTAGGGTCGCGATGAAACCAAGCGGCTGCGGTGAAGTTGAGGCTACTGCCCAAGCTGGTCTTCGAACGTGCCAAGCAGTCCTCATAGCTGATACCTCAACACGGGATGTTGAACGGCATCCTCCCAGACTGTCGGATGAACGACTCATTCCGTTGGAGCCACCGGAGAGTGGTTGCTGCTGTTGATTCAACATCTGCTTTTGATCTAGTCTCACAACGAGAACACTCATAGCAAGCCCTGAGGGTCATCAAGGCGCCAAGCCATGGGATCATAGATTTATATTGTGCTTGGCGGGAATCTTTATGAGTGGGAGCCACCCTCCAACTGAAGGATGAGGCCCTGTTGAGACAACCGCCAAGACTTTGGGGACCATCTAATAGCTGTCCAGCAGCAGCTCAAGCCTGACTTGGCCCGTTGCAAACAAGATTGGAACAAAGTTGTTGGGATAACATCATTTCGGCCAGCAATTCTACCACCACTGACACAGGGCCGCTGGGTCATGCGGCTAATCTCTCAAGCACCTCCATGACACCTCTGTCCCACCCGAAAAGAAAGGCACCAAAACAACTCCAGTACCCTAACCCCCTCACCATCCCTCACCCCAATAAAATAGGTGGTTGCTGGATGAACATCATGTTCTCTATCATTTATGCCATGCTTTGCTGATGAACATCACTCCGCGGAGTGGATTCGGTTGAATTCCGGTTCTCTAGCCCGGCCCGTCCGTGGCGCGATGGTGTCCAAGCCACACCAGCCGCCGCCCTGAAAGTGGATGATCCAACGTTTAGCACCGCTGCCCCAGCCATGCTCAATCCAGTAGCCTGGAAGGCATCGAATTTCAGATTTAGACTTGCTTGGGGAGATGATACTTGTGCTTGTGAACTCCCAACTCCTTTGGGCTCACCAGTCCTATCTCATCTGAACCTACTAGAACGTTTTGTCCTTCTGAGTTGTATAGAACGTCAAGCTCTCGGTGCCGTCCCATATACAGTAGTGTTCGCAGTGTTCTTCTCTACCAGGCATCGGTCTATTCAATACATGTATCTTTGCGGCCAAAACCCGTAGTTGGCCATGATACCAAGGGAGTTAGTCATGTTTAAGTGTGCCATGCTTGGTGAACTCCATAGCGCAGCTTCATAAATCTCTTGGACGATACGAACGGAGCGGTCAGGGCATCGCCACTAGGGGCGATCGGACACTACTAGGGTCTCCTGGCCTTTCTACTAGGAGCAAAGGACGCTACTAACTACTAGGAGCTTTGCCAGGGTGAATCAGTCCACTGCCACGACCGATCGGCGCAGCATGGCGTAGCCACCCCACCTGCAGGTGAACCATCCAAGCACGCTGCACCACGTGTTTGCACCGCCTCTTCCAAAAGCACCAGGGACCTGAGCCATCAGATTTGATGGTGCAGGCTGATGCCCACGCAGACCCGTTTGGACAGCAGAAAGGAACGGGTGTCCGTGCCTTCAGAACGGGGTGTCCAAGCACCCAAAGCCACCGGTTTTGGGTCGTGGGACCTTTCTTCGATGATCACCGGTGGTCAAAACCGGCAGGACTGGAGGAGACGACAGCAAAACATGGATCAAACAAAAAGCCGAACGAAACACATTGCGAAACCAGTGACTGTTCATTTCAATCATGGAGTTGGGGAGCTAGGGGACCTAAGTGAGGAAGAATGGAAGTGGAACGGTCGGCCCCGCCAAGCCTCTTCAAAGGACCAACCTTTTTTTCAGGATTGGCATCGTAGCTAGTCCGACTGAGGTTCTGACCATCAACATGATTAAACCAAAACCAATCCTTGACCTTTCACCTGGACAGGTTGTCTTCTTCTTTGCAGGGGTTTCCCCTCCCTACCGGACCCAAGGACCCGCTACCGTCCCAAGGTGCCAGTTGCCGAAGTCGGCAGCCACCAAGGGCAGAAAGCCAAGTCTGAGCATCCAAAGCTTCATGGCGGCTGATGCGTCTGTTCTCACGTGCCTGGAAGGTGAATGACGCTGGAAATTGGTGGAAGAAACACCACGCTTCTGAGCCTATCAAGTTGCGAGTTGGATCTTTGGATGGGACCTCTCATCGTCTGCGATCCCATGCTTATGGACATGTGATTCTCAGGTGCTTAATTCGACCTTTTTAGCGCTCACACGAGATCCTTTTCAAGGATCCTTTGAGCCGAATGCTTTGGCCGAACGTCTCTTCTGCCTCACCGATCTGGTTCAAGGGTCACTCTCCTGCGAGACTTCCTCCGATCCCTTTTTTGGGGGTCGGGCCGTCGGGCCACTGCGGTTGCTCTAGGCCTTGCAAACACACGGCCTAAATTAATTAACAGTCTGATGTCATGAAACTGACAAGCATGGTTAAATACTTCATGTTTCACATCGATGGTGACTCTGGAGTCTAACAATATCAGAATCCCACCAATCTCACTCTCATGTTTGCTTTGAGGAGCGTGTTTTCGTGCATGTCCCAATGCCGAAGCCAATCCCAAACCCGCCGGTCTCCCGGCATTAAAGGAGCGCGTGTTGCCCTCCTGTGAGAAGAGGTAGTCCTGCACCAGAACAGGTAGACGGGGACAAATGCGAGGACTTGAGGAAGAATGGGGCATGTGGAAACATGTGGAAACATGTGGAAACAACATCACCCTGGGTGGCAAAAAGGTTGAAGATTAGAAGTGCTGGAGTCGGAGTCATCATCAAGTAAGCATGAATCATCCTGAGATTTTGTCAGCTCTCAAGGTCTGCCTTTCATGCTAAGATATGCTAAAATATCCTGCAAACACTCAGCCTGAAAGCCCTCAAGGCTGACCCTTGGCAGATCCACACCAAACTTTGTCTAATCATCTGTAGGTGAATCCGGACGGTGCCATTCTTTTGGACCGATCTCCATGTGTTCGGCCGTCACCGATCTGCCGCTTCCAGCCACCCTGGTGCACCATCCACTAATCTCCTGCATCTCCTGAAAGTGCCCTTCCACCAAAAGCCGTGTGGCCTGCAAATGCCCAACCAGCTATTGCGAGGTCATTCATCGCAAGACTCCGGGTAAACTCCTCCAAACCCGAACATAAGTTTGCCATTAGATCTCTCTATCTAATCAATCAGTCTAGCTACGCGTATCTATCTATGTATCTATGGATCTATCTATAGATCTATATCTCTATCCTTATCTCTATATCTCTTTAGATATGTCTATCCGTCTATCTATCTATCTATCTATCTATTACAAACATGAAATCAACCCATTATCTTTGAACAGGTTCGTTTGTACAGGAACATTGTTTGCAAACAAAGTGTGTGTGTGTGTGACCTGTGGGTTGGTGCTGTTTGCTTGATCTAACATATTAAAAGAATCACCCAGAATCTGCAGGTCCAAAGCACAAGGTGCCAGAACAAACCGTAGGGTACTCGCTCCATAACTCACTAATGCCATTGGGTTTTTATCAACTTTCTAAAGCATGGAATTTGGTGATGAGGGACCTGGGCAGAAAACAATGCATTCCTGTAAAGCCCAAACAACTGAACATGTCCAATGCATAAAGCAGCAATCCACCGCAAGTAATGCCAAAAGGACTTGATTACCATCATGACTGGCAGGCTGATTGCTCTTCCAAATGCATACCAGCCATAGAACTCAAAATCTACTGACACGCACAGCGTACCTCGAGGCACATCAGAGTTGGATGATTTCACTGCACATCCTTACTGGCAAAGGAAGCAATCACACCGCGCAGCTCACCGGGCAGCCTCCATTGCAGCCGCTGCTTGCTCCAGGGTCTCATTGAACCTTCAGCATTCGCCGATGGACTGGTTGTTGGACAGAATATGACATAAAACACCGACCCCCGAAATGCTTCCATTCTGGATCAGATCCCATGGTTTTGATGACTGTGATGGTCGCTACATGGCGCCACATGGCCTTCCTCAGACTTAAAGACTTGGTCCAAAAGAATTCCATGTAGGCTCTTGATGAAAAGAAGTACAATTGACATGGATTGAACAGCCTCTTTATTCGAGGGGTTGACAAATCAAGAGATATACAGTTTAAAGACTGACTCGCAGGTCCTGCGAAACCGACCGTCCAGTGAACCCGGTCCCACTGAGACCACCGGCTCTGCCAGCTGTGCCTGTTGGGATCGTTTGGGTCTAAAGGCTTCAATGTTTGGAAGGGGAACACCTTCTGCTAAATAGTAGCACTACTAGTAGCGTCCTTGCTACTAGTAGCGATGCACCTTGCTGCCAGTAGCGTCCTCTTGTTCCTAGTGGTAGTGCCGGGAGCTACTAGTAGCGTCTTGTTACTAGTGTCCAGTTGGGGTGGTGATGAGAATCCAAACAGGTACAGCGCAAAGACCGAATGGGCGGAATGCACAGCTGCTTCACACCAACTGGACTGATTAGATTAAGAAACTCAACTGTTGTTCCTTTGGAGCTCTCCTTTTAGAATTTGAGCTTAGCTCAATAGCCCCTTCCCAGCAAAAGCACGATTGGAGGCCAATGACACGATCAAAATAACTACGGTAGATTGAACAAAGAAGAGACGTTTGTGACATGTGTGGCTATCATCTCACTGGCAGCTGATGACAGGCATCACTTAAAGGCTGGCAATGGGCCATTCGAAGACTTTTCATGATTAATCGTGCAAAAAGTCTCACGCTCAAAGAGTCCCTTACACAATGTCTTGACTTCTCTGCTGACATTCAGGCGGTTTGGTGCTGTCTTGAGTGAGCACATTTCTCAAATTTCCCAAGTGTTCATCATATCATGTTCTCCAGTGTCACAATTGCAACATGAACACGTTAGCCAAAGGAAAGTGGATTTGTCCACAAGTATTCAGACCAATTCCCAGCGTGTTCTGCCCTTCCATGCCCCTTCCAGCTTCTGTGCGCCCACTGCCCATATCACCCACCATTCCCCACAGAGAAGTGTCTTTCTCACCTTCTCGATTGCGGTGAGCACTGGTAAGGTGCGCAAGCGGTGGACGAACCTCAGGACAAACTGGGAATCACACTGTGACAAGCCAACGGAGCTGCCAACCAGCTGCCCGGCAGTTCTGTCACGGCTCAGTTCGGATGAGCCATCATGAGCCTGTTTGTTGCAATGGATTTTTGACGTTCACTCGCCACGGGCCACTCCCAACGCAAAACCAGCCCATGCAGGATGAAACAAAGCGAACATTACGTCAACATCAATATGCCTAGCTTTTATAGCTTTTCCTACTCGCACAATCTTCCCACAAATACAGCATGCCCATTTTTCTCACATGCGGAACCACCGACAGGGTCACGTGGACGCCACGGGCCCCCCAGCTTGGCCGTGCGCCCAGCGTTGGACAGGAGCTGAGGAGCAAAGGACCGGTGGACACGTCGCCCCAGAAACGACTCCCTTGCATTTTAGGGGCAACGTCATACAAATATATTTGTCTTTTTTTGTGTGCACTGTGTCTGCACAGTGTATATATATGCAATAGTATAACAATATGTAATATGCAACAGTATATGACATAGGAAGTAGTTCAACTAGTTCAACTGATTAATTCATTCCATTCTGCTTGCTGGAAATTGTAGGCAAAAAAGAACTGTCCATTATTGTAGAAACATATCATATAATATATATATACACTGTTAATTATGCACATATCCGTCATAGATTCATGAGTTGGCAATCTGCAACTTCCGTGACTCTCAATTGCAAAGGAGGTCAAAAAGCACAGAATGCAAGGCAGTGTCAGGGTGTCTGTGCAAGATGTTGAACTTGGTTTGGCAATACCCTGACCTCGTGGAAGGACTCCCACATGCCCACGTCATCGTTGCTGGAGGACATGGCTTGGTGAAAGTCAAACTGCACATCCTGCAGAATCTGCCAGGGAAATAGCAACATGCTGGCTTTGAGATCAACAAACTTTTCTTGATACACTTCTCTGTCTGAGAGAACGGGCCACTTCGGGCAATGATTACAATTGGACCAAAGAAACAACAAACGTCTTGCAGCTGTTCATTTTAGATCTGTTGTCCAATCTGCGAACCAAGTCTGAAGCAAAAATCTTTGTCCCTTCACTCTGCCCCGGCCAAGCCCATCTTCAAGGGCATGAACCATTTGTCGTGCCTGTCTTTTTTCACGACCAACAGAGTGACTTACAAGGAAGGTCACCCATGTTCCAACATCAGACTTGCAATCATCGGGGGCCGATTCGGATGAAACTCACCCCCTGCACTGCGCGAAACGGGCGGCCAACAACACCGAACGACGAAAAACACTGATCTATCGAATAATAGTGCCACACATGGGGTCTATCCTAAATACGTCTAATACCTGTAACATCTGATGACAGTGGATTATGATGGTTAGTAAAGGCCTTGTCCAAAAGTAGTGATAGTTGTTTACTGACTGCTACAGGTAATAGGACAAACCCAAGCCAATATCACATAAATTCTAGGGATTCTCTTCAGAATTCTTCAGATCAAATATTGTTTGTGGCGCATACGGAGCTGCACCCGAAATCTCGCTAAAAGAAAAGGAAAAAACATCGTCATGATCTCACCAAAACACACCGATCTTCCGCAACACGAAACCACGGAAGATCAACGCACATGCGGGACGGGGGGGCCTATCCCCTAGTCATCCCCCCCTCCCGTCCCCTTCGCATCCTTCGTCCGAATGGTCCCTCTTTCCCACCTTGTTGAGCTTGGGATCGCCATCCTGTCCGGTGCCTTTTAAGAGCTCCTGAGGCCGCTTCTCGTTCGGCTCGGGGCTTCTGCTTCGTTCACGTGGGCGGTGCGTGTTCTTTTTCTTCGTCCCCCCGGATGGAACGTGTTGAAAGGTGTCACGTCCTCTTTCTGTTTGGTGTGGGTCCCAAATAAGAAACAAACACATAGGATGTAAAAAAGAACACTTATCACATGTCATCACCACATGTGACTCATCTGATGGCAGCACTCCACTCACTCTGAGGCATTGGCCCCCAGCAGGTTCCAACAAAGCTGCTGCACCTGAGGGAAGAAGCAGCAACAAGCAGCGGGTCTTTATGCAAGAATTCAATGAGGACAAGGTTAGGGCATGTCCCAGAATATGTCAACCCTTTAGAACCCCCATATACAAAGCCGCATTGGCAGTACAAATCAAACACTTGAACTTGAACACTCCCCTTTGCTCGTCTGTTTGTGTCCCAAAATTTGGAGATACACCAGAACGGATCGCCCAGCCACTGCGTTCTTTACTTGTTCATACAAACCTTGGATGAATGCACCCTGACAACTAGACCCCGAATGGGTCCACGCCAAGCATGCCTCTCGATTCACGATGATTTTCAACAGTCTCTGCTCGGGGATCCGCGGCATTCCGCGACCCCATTCCAGTCGCTTCCCCCTATCCATTCTCTCTCCTTGGGAGGAGCCTAGCTTTACACGTCTTGCGCCTCCTCGAGAGCGCAGTGAATTGGTGCGCCGCAAGGCACATCACAGCTGCAGCTGCATGTGGTCAATCTGCCGGAGGCAAGTCCTCCGTGAAGATCTCCTTTGCAGCCTCTGTGGTCCGATCCACCGTCCTGTCGTTGGCACCCGTCACCTCGGGAGCCTCGTCCCCCTCCACGGGGTGCTCGTCGAGGTTGGAAACGAGGTGCTCGTCGAGCTGCTTCGCCCGAGCACGGGCTTCGTGGACGGCCACGTTGATGCGATCGAGCTCGGCCAAAGTTCCATTGTAGATCCCCTTGGCTGAAGCCGCTCGCTCGCTGAAACCAGCGATGCGCTGTCGTTCAGCTGCAAGGGTGCTTTGGTGCTGCTGCAGCTGCTTGAAGACTGGCTCGTAGCGTTTGATCAAAGCATCTCCCAACTGCAAGCGCCACCGTTCTAGGCTTTGCTTGGCCTCCTCGTAGTCCCGAAGGCTCTCCGCATAGTCTTGCTCGCGCCGGTCCCGCTCCTGTCGGCACTTCAGGACTCGCACCGTGGCTCGCGACAAACCATCTTGTTGATCCCCATCCAAGCGCACCTTGGAGTGGCGTTTTCAGGAACCGTGAGAAAATGAGAAAACAAAACCATCTTTTCCAGAAGGGAACTATGTATGGAAAGGAGAACAAATCAGTCACCCTGTAAACCAAATCTGGGCACCTTGTGCGCCCCATAGGCCAACTTCGTCTCGATGCTGCGGAGCTCGGCCTTGGCGCTGCTGTACTGAGAGGCCGCCGCCGAGAACTCCCTCACCACGCCCTGCACCTTGTCCGAGGCCGAGCGGAAGGTCGCGGTGGCCTCGAAGTAGGGCTTCACCCGGTCGATGGAGCTGCCATAGTGGGACCGCAGCTCCTCGTAAACGCGGCTCCACTGTCCCAGAAGCTTTCGGTACCTCTCCTGTGCTTCACTGGCCTTCCGCTCGTAAAGGTTCACCTCTTGAGAGGTTCGGTTCATCGTTTCTAAGAGCTGTGGCACCTCCCGGGTCAATTCAGCCTCCCTGGCGGGCAAGGACTCCATCTGGAGACTGGTCGAAATTCTGCCCACCAGTCTTACTGTTGAAAAAGGCTACCGAATTGAGTGGCTTGAGCCAAACATCTTGAGCCACCAAGTGCATCCCCACGTGTTTCTTCCCCCTCAATGACGTACAGCTTAGTGGACACTTCGCACTGTTTGCCTGGAGCTAACTACTATGGAGTGGTCTCAGGCTTCTCTTTTTCAACCTAGCTGCCAAGGACCCAGCTGCCAAAGCACAAGCAAACAACTGCATTGAGGCATGATGAGTTCTCTAAGGAGAACCAAGCAAAACATCCTGATAAAGCAACTCCGTCTCAAGTCGTGAGTCTTCTTGCCACCTCCAGCCGCCCGCAGTCTCAAAAAAGGGGGGCCCGACGTCCTTGACGCGGTGTTCGTTGAGCACCTCGCAGGTGGCGAGTGACTTCGAGTGCCCCACGGAATTGGAGGAACTGTAAAAGCCATGGACTGTGGGAGTCTGTAGCATGCAAATCAAATCATTTATAATTTAATATAGGACCTAGGAGACATTTCCCAAGACATGTCGCAAAAAACTGCTGGAACATCACTACATGTAAATACAAACTAAATCCATCGAAATCCTCTTCCAAACTTTTCTGACCAACAGCCCACCATTCATTCAGCCACTGTTGCCAATTCATCAGCCAGCGCAAAACGTGGGAGGGCTACCGGCTACAGGTGTTCGAACGGTCGTGACTCGAAAATGGTCGTGAGAGTCGTGACGCGGCCCGAAGTCGGAGATCGTACCTTCACAAGAAGTTTGCTGACGCCAGCTTTGGAGAAAACCACCTGAAGGAAGTGTGGTGGTTTGGGGATCTGAGGGGACAAGTTGCCAGGTCCTGGGGTGTCCCCACGATGCATGGGGGTCACCTACGGTGTGGATTGCTAGGGATCCTAGGAGGTTTGCCAAGGAGGTTTGCCACATTGGAAGCAGCCATAATCGCCGCGATGGCAGGCGACGGAGAAACAAAAACGCATACTTGTACAACATATACAGCAATTAAACATAATTAAACTATATATATATATACAGTACATATATATCATTGACATTGCGGGTCCCAAATCACCCACCAGCCTTTTGTGAGCTGAAAGAAGCATGAAATTGCAGTACGGTTTTCTCAATCAAGATGTTGCCGATATCTTCACACCAACCACCCCATTTAGTCTCCCTCCTGTGAGACCTCCTCTTCTGCCAGACCTGCGTTGTGATCGGCACACACCAGCGCGAGCGAGCGTGTGGGGTCGGCGCGTGCGTTGAGCCACCTGGATCTTCCCGAACTGCAAATCCTCACGTTGCAGCTCACCGCGACGGCCCTGGGCAAAAAACAGCCAAACCGTGCCAGTCAGGGCGCTTAAGGCTTCTAGTGAAAACGCGAGAGCTGGCGATCGTTAGGGATAAGGATTAGCAGGCAAATCCATAGCTCCACGTACTCTCCAAATCACTCCAACAGGTCTTTAGTTGAATTTTGTTGGGCCGAAACAACCAGGATAAGCATGAATTCTGGTTGACATTCTCTCTTTGCAAAGGAGCACTCGGAGCACATCCATCAATTGGTCGTCTTGAACGCTGCCCTCAACCAACCGCTTCCTGCCCGGGAGGAAGTGGAACATAGATTTATAATTAGAAACACTCCCGTAGATGCTTAATGATTTTTAGAAGGGATCCACTATGATCCACTTGTGTATCATTATTGAGTCTAGTCTGTTTGTTATTTATTATGATGTCACCAAACACTTGCATACTCCAACTGAACATATTCCTACCTTCAGCATCTCTGATCCGTCTCAGTCTGTCCTTCTTCGCTCTGGCGGGAGATAGTCCATCTCCCGCAACGCGACCGTCCAGAGTCCACTGGCGTCTCGCACCACTCGGATCATCGCGAGCAGGATCCTGGCACAGTCACCCCAAACGGCACACGAACTGGACCGAGATTCACCACCAACTTTTTTTCACTTGCTGAAGCAGTGTCTTGTCATGGGTGTCGCATGCCAGAAGCCAAAGGCAACAACCTATACAAAATGGTCAGTTCTTGGCCTTGCAGGCTTCTGGCGTAGTAGACACCTTATAACTATACATTTCTCGACCTGCTTCTTGCGTCACCGATCCCATCTGTGACCGATCGGTGATCGCCTCATGGTACGCCGTAGGCTTGACAGGTCTTGCAGATTTGCTTCGCCTAGCACCGGTTTCCGTTCGCCCGGTCGGCGTCCGGACGGTCGATGGTCGATGTTTTCCGACTCCCTGCTGTCCGGCTGAGACGAGGCAAATCCTTTTGCAAACTGGTGTTGTATCTTTTGCGCGGTCTGTTCTTGGTTTATATATATACAATTTACATAATTCATGCAGTAGGCAAATCAGTCTGTTGTGCCCATTGGTCACCCCGGGCCCTACATGTTGTCCAATCCATGACATCGCCAAGCTGAGGTCTAAGCAGTGCTGGACCAAGCGGGCAATCGCATCTTGTACCTAGGGTTTGTTGGGGCCAGTCGTGCAGATCGTGGCGTCCTACTTTTGAACAAGTGGTGTTACAAGGAAGCAGCCCCATTTTTGAACATGGAGCTGAATGTAGCAGGATCCACAGGTAACATGATGTGATGGACAACCACTGATACGTAATCCTCACTTGCGCTTGGCTGTTGCTAAGACAAAAAGAAACCAATTTGGTTTCCAAAATACGCAGGGCCTTGGTGGCTTTTCAGGTTACTACACCAGAATGATAGAGTGTCGGTATCTTCTGCAAACAAGCAGTATGAAACAAGCAATAGAGAGGACACAAATACATCCTTCGCGAACAGGTTATCATAAACAGTCTCTTCAGTAATAATATGTAATATAATCATAATCATACTGTCATCTTCTCACCTGGTGCATTGATCTGGTCTTCAACCGCGTTTGCGGTTTACCTGCATGTGCCAGCACACCCTAAACTCCAAAGATCTCCAAAGCGCGAAGCCAGGAAAACAGCTGACAACTGCGAAGCAACTCAGCCAACCAACCCTCCATGCTCCCAAACACCAAACCATGTTCATTTCATGTCCAATCAAACACCAAACATCACCAAACCCATGTGACGAACAAAAAACAGAAAAAAAATCCGCCCGATCTGCCCAGGAGCCGTGATGCCATGCCTGCGGAAATCCTGTGTGGACCTGAGAGGTCTCCAGACCAACCGACAGTGCCACCAGCGAGGACCCAGGACGGGTCCTGTTGACCCGCTCCAAAACCGACCACAAGCAACAAAGGGAGTGCAGACTGAGGTGCTCCAACACGAGCCTTCATTCACACATCCCAGGTGTCTTGAATCTATTTTTAGTGTATTGAATCGGCGATGGGTCCAGGGTTTCTGGTATCGAGGCCCCAGGCGATTCAGCATTAAGGCTCTTCAGGTAGGGCGGATACTCGGGATCCGTGTCTTCGGAGACCGTCAAGAACGCCTGCCACGACACTCCAACGCAAAGCGCTGGCGGAAAGCAAGACCTGCACAGGATTCGTCTATAGAATTTGAAACCCATCACCCATCTATCAAATCTAAATGCCTCTGTGAGAGTGGATGGTGTTGGCTATACAATCTGTCTGGGCCTCTACTCCAGTCATTGTCCATGAACAAGGGCGGCGGGCCCATACCGCGGTAAGGGGAAAAGTGGGTTAACAGTCAACAGTCTTGAGGAATTGTGTATGTAAACATGTCATGTCTTAACTCCCTGACCCGTTGCATGACCATTTTCCTCCAGAAACTATGTGGTTTTGCACTCCCACGTTAGTGACTCGGAGTGTAAATGTATTGGCTAAGTTCGGCCAAATGAAGGATACATGACTGATGAATTACATTACACGTGCAGTACCTCCAATTGCATGGCCACACTTTAAAAACACCTGATCAATGTGATGATACATACTAGCGATGGCCTCCAACCCGACCCACAGGCGCCCAGCACTCGCCTTGCCCAGCGCGTCCTCCGCGCGTTCGCGGCGCTCGCGACAGCGCTCGTCACGGCGCAAGGTGTCGAGGAGCTTTTGCCACAGGACCTGCAGGGGAAAAGGCCCCCAACATCGGTCAAAGGCATCCATCTCAGACTGAGCTGCCTGAGGAAAAAAACAGAGAGTTCATGGGAAGCCCGATGAAGCCCGATGTTCCAGGGATGTTCTCATCATGTTTCCGTTTCTGGGACATAAAAAGCCAGGTGATGTCGGATGGAATTAATTGAATGATCTGACACATGGTGTTTGTGAAAATCCATCCAAGTGGTCACAGTACACGGTAGTCACGCTGAGGAATGTGACAATGCAAACAATGTGCACAGGTTGGTGTCGAGAACAAGTCTTGCAGCCACACACGTTTGACAACCTTCAAATTTTCTAGCTTGGCTGCAATACTTATCATTTTCTAGCTTGGCTGTAATACTTATAATACTTCAAATCGGGGCCAAGCTCTCATTGAAATTCAGACTCTGCTCCGTGCCTGATCCGGAGACATGCCAGCCGCCTGGTGTGTCGTTGAAAAGGGGTGAAATTGCACTTTCTCCTAGCGACAGTGGGTTTAGGAAGGAAAAACGGCGGTCCCTAGAATTCAATGCCATCGGTATACTCCAACCATCTTTGGCTGAAATGTCCAAAATGGCATGACAAACGCATCCCAATATCCAGGCCCACTGTACCCGACCAAGGCACACCACCTTGGGATGGCAGTCTCGTCCACGCACTACCCAACCCTCTCCTTTTGGAACAACTCCCATGCGAGTAACGATCCCTTCTTTAACATTCTTTAACAACCACGTTCAAAGGTTGTGTGTGAATCTGTCCCACTAAGGAGGGGTCTCCAATGCATTCCTCACAAAACAAAAAGAAGCCGGTTCAACCCTGCATGTCTCAAGCACTGGTAATTTTGTATGGAGCATCTTTTGAGAATGAAACTGTGGACAGTAGCCATGTGTAATTCTCATCCAGTACTCGCGCCCTCCCCCACCGCACCAATAAACAACCATCTGCCCACGTGCCCGCGGCCGCTCAAAAGCGCTTCCAACTGCAGCCTGATGCTCCGAATTCTCATGCTTCACCTCCTGCAGAGTCAGCGCATCAGCCTGGAGCAGTGTCCGCTCCCTCGGTGTCCCGACTCCTTGCCCTCCATCCCCAGGTGTCCCAACGGCAATCTTTTCGTTTTGAAACAAGTGACCGGATTGCAGGCAGATTGACCGTTCGAGACAAATTGACCAATGGAGATCCAGCATATTCACCATCGATGGAATCCACAAATTCGGTCAGTCAGTTCCTCAGGACTCCGATGATATTCAGCAGCTGATTTCTACAGGTCCAAAAGATTCCAAAGGGTGCTGAGTCACTCGGTGACCCAAGCTGCTTCAACATTTATCATACATTCCTGTTGCGACAGCATACAGTAACTGGTCTCTATATAACCCCAACTTCTTGTTAACCGTTACTGTTAGCTGATGGCGGTGGCTCAAAAAGTTTTCTGTTCGGGTTCACAAACATATCAAACACATACCTCTGAAACTTTCAACATGTCGAATTAAACATCCACCGTGGCTGCGGCCCAAAAATCTACGGCCACGTCACTCCGGAGCCCTGCTGTTATACATTGGTCGCAAAAAACACGCGGTGAGAAGAGGCGCACGGTAAGGCGGGCTTGGGTGCCTTCCCACCCATGGCCGTGATCACACGGTAGGTGGCGATGGACATGATCTCCAGGCTGCCCGGAGCAAGCAGCTCACGCACCCTGCGAGAAAGCGGAGCGAGCTGCGGGATGCAAAAGGGGAGATCTGGTTGAAGTTGGTACATCAACAAGGAATGTACATCAAAAAGGAATCATACGGGACCCATTTTCTTGGAGTCTTATACATTGCTGCTTTCTGAATATAAAAGAAAGGTAACCTCACAAAATGCAGGATCTCCGCATGCGTTCTTTGCTCAGCATGTTTTCCTTGCTGAGAACAACACAAGAACCGAGCTCATCAAATTTGGCAGGTAAAAAGTGAGAAGTCTGAAGGACATGTGTATTCTCAAAGGGCACCGGAACAATTAAGTTAATTATATCAAAACAAATACAGTATATAATCAATCAACTCCAAAATAATTCTGTCCAACAGGTGGTTTTGGACACCCCTTAACCTCAAAGAGGCTATATATATATATATATATTTATTGACACCTCTCGGAAGGTCCTGGTACGTGTCCACTTTTGATATTTTTCGGGACTCCTGGTATATGCTCTTTGTTATGCACTTTTCAGTGAAATCCCGTGCTACGCGCAGCTCGCTGAGCTCAAGGCCGGCTCTTCTCAAGCATTTGGAAGCCTCAGGGCACTTTTCCACACATGCCATTCTGCAGCCCAAAGTACGACCTCCCAAAATATCCCAAAATATTCTATTCGCTACCTCACATGACCCCATCTGCTGGGACATGTTCGCATCCTAGGGAATCAGCAGATTCACGTTGAAATAATCTAAAAGGCCATGGGGGTCGTCTCATCCACTTTGATCACACTTGACCTTACTGGGCTCCTGACGACGCAAGTACTTCTGGCCAATCACTTGCAGCTGTTCACCTGACAGAGGGCGCGTGGGCAACTCAGGTTTCGACCAACCCTACCGGGGCCCTAGCGTAGGTGGGCAAAATAGTCAAACTTACGGACACGGACAGCGAACACCGCCTCGCTTTCTCAAATCACAGAACACCTGCGCCAAGAGTTCAGAAGACGCAACGAAGAAGAGCGGGCAGCCGAGATGCTAGCACGGGCAGCTGGGATGTGAGAGATCGCTCATTGGAAATCATCAATACCTTGAGCGGACCTTGCAGGAAAAACTAGCAGACCTTACTTCTTTGAAAGTGTAATGCGTACACAGATGTACACAGGTAAACCTCAAAAGTAGATAACCTCGACCCCCGAGTTCCAAGTTAGTGCCACTGGCATTCCCAAATGTTGAACAAACACTAAATCAACAAGCCAGTGGCCGCATGAACCTGCATGGCAGTTCGTGAAAATCGCCATCGGCGTTCGTGAAACGGCCGGGTAGCCAAAGAGAGTCCCTGGATGGAGAGGGCGATGCGTCGGTCGACGGTGCGCACCGCGGACCATTCGGTCTGTTTCATTCATTGGGCATGTGACGCGACCAGAATGAACATCATGTCAAGGAACCTACCAAGGACCAAAGAGCTGCAACTCTGCTTTTTACCATCTTTTACCGTCCTTGCGGCAGCATAGTGATAGTAATTGGTAAGGAATGGGGAAGGCTGGAAGCAACACTTTGTAGAGGACATCATCTCCTGAATCCCTCTCTGGGCGGTTGTGATTAAAAGAGGTTGGGGGAAGTTGACGGTTTTGTGCATGCCTCTTCAAAGTTTGAGCACTTCAACGTCGTCACCATGAAGCATCCCATCAAGGCATCCCAAGGCATGTCAACTCAAAGTCTTAATCACACACTAGACTCTTGATCTCAATCCCACGGAGACTTTTTCAACAAGTCTTGAGTAGAGGACAACTTCAAAAGCACACTTGGGCACAGGATCACACCCTGCTCATGCCTGCAAACTCATCTTTCGCGATGCACGCTTGATAGGGCCTCGCGCCAAAACAAAAGGCCACGGCCGTTGCCAACATCGTCCACTCGTCGTGATCCGAGTAAAGTGATTCTAAGGTTCCAGGCAGGATCTGATAGTTATTCTCAATACAGATAGATGGATGGATGGATGGATAGATAGATAGATCGATAGATTGATAAGATATATTAGATTTTTAGATAAATAAGATAGAAAAGAAAGAAAGAAAGAACAATACAGAAAGATAGATAGATAGATAAATAGATAGATACATACATGGATAAATAACAATATATACCTCAATTTAGGTCATCGTTTCAAATCTTATAAAGATTGGATTATATACGCCCCCGTAGTTCCAGCCGTTGTTGGAGGTTGTTGGCCAGCGCAACCCTGCAAAGTCAACTCAGCAGCCAACCCATTGAAGAACGTCTCAACACAATTCATCATCGCCGCCATGTACTCCTCCCTCTCCTGCAAAGCAGTTGGGGTTTCCAAGACTTGAGTGTGCACTAAAATATGCTATACAAAATAGGAGACCTCCCAAAGAACCCCTGGAAGAAGGGAAATAGACCAGTCTACCCATTGTGCCTGGGACGGGTTTGCAATGGCTTGCAGGTCTGCTGCAAATCGGTGCACAGCTGCAGCACTGGTGCGTTTCCCATCCCAGGGCCACAAACAATCCATCAACGAGGACGGCTTAGACAGAATATGACAGAGTTAAACATGGGGTGGTTCGCGGACACCCCCTGACTACAGTAATGTAATGTAGATTGTTCCATCCAATAACACCCCCTTCCGTGGTGCTGCCCCTTCCGTGGTGCTGGGAATCGTCCTGTTCTTTCGGAAAAAGACCCTGGTGCACATCTGTAAGCTCTACACAACTGCACCTTGATGAGCACACAACTCGCGTCTCTCTTTGGCCCCAAGGTCTGCCTGAATACATGGGGCTTCCAATCCACGAGCCCCAAAAAAGGTCACCCCCACTCCAAACAAAAGAAGTACCTACGTACTAGTTACAAAGTGCCGGAAATTCCTCAAATGTACTGACCACTTCTTCGCCAAAAAGGTCACCGCACCTGGTTTGCTCCAAGGAACCATCAGTTCCACTTGGCTGATTTCACAATCCATTCACCTCCACTAAGCCAACAGAATCACATTCCCACTCAAAAGGAAATAACTCCTGGTTCATCCATTCACTGAGCCACATCGAAGAAACCAAAGAAACCGGAGACCACATCGACTCTTTGTTCGACCCGTCACCCGTCGAGGACGGTCTCGGCTCTTCTGGCCGCCCAATCGGAGACCGAAAGCAACTCCGAGCTGCACATGTTGCAGGTGGCAGTCCAACACAGTAACATACCGTAACTGCTGAATGGGTGATTTATAGCACTGATAGCTGGTGCATCCATAGCACGTTGCATAGCAGGTGCAAATTAGCATGCATCATTGTATAACTGGTCGCTTGCTCTCTTGTGATTATATGTATAGGTTTTTGAATGTGTGCATAATTATTGGTTGCATATTGCTGCAGGTCCATGTGCATTTGGGGCTCAGATCCATCCGTGCTTACCGCGTACTTGTGACACCCCAAGGCAACTACTTTCTTGGTGCGCCGCGCGAATCAGGCTGCCAATCAGGCTGCGACACGCTTGGGCGCGACTTTCCCCAAGAACCAGGTGGTCTTTCCCAACGAGGCCATCACAAAGGGCGTGCGCCAAATCCTGAGGAAGAGTGGAGGGACAGTGCGGATGGGGAGGGTCCGGAGCGGTCTTTGGACTCGAAGTGCCCACAACTAGGCGTGTCACAGTGTGTGATTGGATTCTTCTCGGCGTCGATGTGGATAGATAGATAGATAGAGATAGATAGAGATAGATAGAGATAGATAGAGATACATAAAAAAAGAGAGATAGAGAGATAGATAGATAGATAGATAGATAGATAGATAGATAGATAGATAGATAGATAGATATAGATAGATAGATAGATAAATTAGATAGATTATATAGATAGATTAGATAGACTAGATAGATTAGATAGATATGATAGATAAGCTAGATAAGATAGATAAAGTAAGATAGATAAGATAGATAGGATAGATAGATAAGATAGATAAGATAGATAGCGAACTGCTCTGGAACAGGAACCATAAGTAGATAGCGAACTGCTCGGTGGAATTAAAGAATTGAACCGTTCCAACTCGCATGTGAGAAGCACAATGTGCATCAGCATGTGCACAACCTCTACAACCTCTGAAAACATCATCAAAAACAACACACATTTAAAATTGCTTCAAGATAGTACTCAATATTGTGTACGGTAATTGTTATTGTACTTTGAAATGGCGTGCTAATTCATGAACGTCCCAAATACTTTTGTAACCAGCACAGCCCCTTAATCCTCTTAGCTTTGCCTTCAAGACTTCATCTTAAACATTTTTGTGCCGATGGGTGAAAAAAATCAAGGCGATGAAGACCTTGAAGACTGACACCCAAATGAATTTGACATCCCATTGCCTGCAAAAGCCCGAGTGGTAAACCCCTCGTTGTAGAGGAACACCACCTTCCCAACAACCAATCAACCAATGCCAATGACACATGTGAGTGACTATAAACAGATATTTCTGGGATGTCTCGTTTTGGTCTGTCTAAAGACGCTCGCTCCGTCCCGGCCGAGGTTCCCCGAGTGAAAAGCCTTTCGGGTCACGATCAACAGTGGATTGCTCAGTTTGGGTGCCGGCTCCTGTGCAGAACGGCGCCGGCTCCTTTCAACCAAGGCATGAAATTCTAGTTCTGACGCACCTATAGACATTTAACTGTCTCCTCCACCCTGAACCTCAGCTCATCCACTTGAAACCCTCTTGGGTGCATAAATTGGTTGGGCTGCTCACACAAGCCCCCCCAAAAAAACAAGCATTCCCAAGTTGGAACATCAAAAAATCCCCAATCCACATCCAATCAATTTTGTACTTCACAAAGCTTCCGGCCCTTCATGGTAGAGTGACTCTTGCAAGTTCCGTCACGCAACACGTGTCATGACACAAGTTCCGTCCGCCTCTCTTTCTCTCCACCTCCATGCCCCGACTTCGACGACTTCAAACGCTCTGAGGGCAGCACCGCCAAATCGGAGAGCAGAATCGCCAGCATCGCCTGACGCCCGGTGGGCGCGTCGTAGCTCTCCTGCGGGGGGGAAGTGGGCCTTGGCGAAGCGGTGCACGGAGTTCGTGCGCTTCGGGTGGGCTGGGGTGGGGATCGAAATGGAAGGTAGTTGGATGGCAACGGTGTTGCTCAGAGTCTGGAGTGTGAACCATTTTTCTTTTCTTTTTGAAACATCTGCACTAGAATCTTAAGGTGAAGGTGACAAATCACTGAATTCATGCACCGAGCGGTCCTGGTCTGACCTTTTGCTTGGATCTCTTGTTTGGACACTTGCAATTCCGACAGCTCTTCTCCCGGCTCACTGGTATCCAATCCGGCCGTCCCCTCGTGTCCAAACAGACCACAAAGCAAGCCCAACGCCTGCGGGGTCTACCCCCAACTTCCGCCACAGCCATGGTCCTCCTTACTCTTAGAAAAGAAGCTCAACAAGCTGAGGGGGATCATAATAAGCATGCATAATAAGCATGCATAATAAGATAAGCATGCATAATAAGCATGCATAAGATTGTATAAGCATGTATTGCTTCCTAGTAGCGATGGCCTCCACCCATCGCTAAGTGGCGAAGGGCTCATGGAAAATTCCTCCTCCTCATCTTCCCTATATTCCAAACAACAGGGACTGCCCTGTATGCGCCCAGTGGCCAGGCCCTCCAGCAAGACGGCCATGGTCGCATTGTGAACCACACTCTCCGTACGGCAGATGGGCGCCATGGGTGCTGAAACCTGGAGATCGATCGATCCGGTTTACCGTCCGGGACGTCCGGTTTCTCGCCCGGCCGGGTGTTGGAGAACTGTGTGATCTATTATGATCTGGAGGTATTTTGGGACAAAGGGCGCATGATGTGTGACGTGAAAAGCCCTATGTTTGGGCTCAGGAAGTCACAATGTCTAAGTTGGTTTCTTGCGGGCAATCCGTTCACATCCGCTCACTTCCATGTTTGGGAGCCGGAGCGAGGACAATAAACATCAAGTTGGAAATGATTGATCGCGATTGATCGCCAATGGCAGCAGGTGGCCCTGCCACCCCCTTGAAGCTCCTACCACTCTCCGCCTTTAGCCAAGGTGCTTGAAAGCCTTCAAGGTGCAAGAGGGCGGCACGCCATTGTCCTAGCAAAGGACAGTGACTGCTAAGCAAGCACGACACCGAAAGTCTTTCGCGTCAAGATCAAATTAATCTCTCGCGCCAAAAGTCAAGATCTCTTACACAAATATTAAAAACTTCTAGCTTTTTCAACTGAGCTACAAGGGTGTTAGCCTTGATCAAACACAGGCACCGACACCACCAAGAATCCACAACAAGCATGCCCGGTACTCCCATGGGTAGTGCAACCTTGACATCTCCCTGACGACCACCCTCGTCCGAACAAACCACCCTCGTCTCCGGAGGTCAGAAGCACTTAGTCGAGAGGCGCATCATCTGCGCCAACGCATAGTTGGGCCCTTGCAGTACTTCGAAAGCGCTGAGGAAGAAGCGATTGCCATCCAGCTTTTTGCAGCTGTGTCCTCGGGATATGCTTTTCCTCAAAGCTAAGGTGCACCACATTATAACAGTGGTTTCAGACTAGATGGCACAAAACCAAAGATGTATTTTATAACGCGGTCCTCATAAACCACCTTTTGGGGATTGCGCCATCTACTCTGAAACCACTGTATATTGTTCCTCCAAAAGTAGGATCAGGGCGTCCATTCCAAGTCTAGATTCTATGGCTTTGCTGCATGCCAAAAAGTGTAGCATGAACTGTACCGATTGGCCTGCCAGCGCTGTGCAGTCGTTGCAAACTTGTCCAAACTAATTAGGTGTGGCGGGGTGGCGCCCACGGGATCTTCAGCTAGAAGGGTTTCAGACCTGTTCCTATCCATTCCGA